ACTTATAAGAAAATAAGACAAGAACCTTGTTGGATCAAAACAAAGATATATTTAGTGCAACATGCTATTCATATGGGAGTTGGTGATATGCCCATGGGAACTTGAATGCAACAGAACAATCACGTTCCCCAGCAATGGATAGACAGAAGATCCCACGAGTGCCTCTCCCTTTCAGCAACAATAAAAATGAAATGATAACAAAGCCACAATCCTGTGTGCATTTACTCAGGAATCCCAGCATGCCTGAGTGACCAGTGCTGGGAAATCTAGGATTTTTTTCTGTCCAAATATGCATAGGATTTCACTCTAAAGTACTAGTAATTTTCTGCATTTTTATGACACCCAAAGTTGGCTGCTTCAGGCAGCCATGTCACTCTGCCTAATGGTAGGATGAAGGAGGGCAACCCACTGACCCCTTCTGTCAGTATTTCCCAAAAATTGATATCGAAGGCATTCTACTTCTGTCCCTGAAGGTGGCAAGGCAGCTGTCAAACTAGCCATCTTGTCTCATCCCCTATTAATGCCATCTAAGTAGGTGGTTATCACCATATAGTAGTGAATGTCACGGTTTATCTATGAACTGTGTGAAGAAAGGCTTCATTTAGGCTTTCCTGAATCTACCACCATTCAGTTCCATTGGATGGCCCCAAGCTGTAATATTATGAGGGAGATGAGGAAGGGGGCTTCTCTTTATTCATTCCTCCACATCATGCAAAATGTTATAAGCCTCCACAATAACTTCCTTGTACACCGTATTTCAAAACTAAAAGGCCCCAAGCACTGTCAACTTTCCCCATAAGGGAGTGGCTCCATCTACCTGATTATTTTAATTGACTTTTTCAGTCGGTTCCTTTTGAGCTATGGAAGGAGAACTGTGCACAGTATTACATGTACGGGCACACCTAGGGTTATATGTCTCTGTCAGATCCATTCCAGCTGTCTCATGGACTGGCAGGCACTTTTCATCATTTACTCACTGATGGAGTTGGATGTTGCACAGATGCCTTTACCCACCTTTGCCCAAATCCACATTTGTACACCCCCTCCAAATATGCAAATCCCTCCAAAATGCACACCTTAACACTTTTGTCTGGGGAGATTATCATTTTCAGTTTTAAAAAAACATTTTCCTATCCATAAATTTGTGTAAAATTAAGTTTTAAAAGCTGGTCCAGAAGTCAACTGAATCTGAGCAGTGCTGGAAAAGCCAGCCTGCTACAACATCCCTGAATTGGGGTCACAGAAATTTGAACTCCTTTGACTTTGTTGTGGGTTTTTTCAGCATCCCTAGCCGCATCTTAGATTGTTAGTGACATCAAGGTGGCTGCAGACAGTTCTCAAATAGTTCACTGCTGCCCCAAGATCCCTTCCCTGGTCAGTCACCACCAGCTCAGTTGTCTTCAAGTGTCCACTTGCTTACACTGAACTGCACTTGCCATTTTATTGCCCATCTGTTCTGTTTAAAGAGATGCTTTAAACAAATCACCACCCTGAATAACCTGGTGTTATCAGTCCATCATGGAGCACTCTTTGACTTGGACACACCACTAGAAAATGAATATCTGAATCAATTTCTCAGGGTGATTTTTTGCATTGCATAGACATGGTGGGCTTTGTATGATCTTCCCATAGTGGGAGCCGGCAGGGTGGAGCATAGTCAAAGACAGCTTTTGAGAACTTCTGAAGAAAGACTGATTTGATCCTCTAAGACAGTAACAACTGAGGACTAAGAGAGAATAGCAATCATCTTTTATTCCTCCTGAGAGAGAGGAAATGCTTTCATAGACATAGATCGCTGTTACTATAATAACTGAAAATGTCTTTAGAAGTGCTGATAAAAGAAGGGAGTACATTGAAGCAAGAATTTATTAGGCCAAAAATGAGACTGGATCCAGTTATTAAAAGGCAAAAGAAAAGCCATATACTGAGGAATTACACATAGCAGTTGCATTATGTGATTCAAGGTTGTAACATGCTTTTGCTTGAATATAGTGCAGTAGAAATGTGTTGATTAAAAATGCACAAAGAGATAAAGACTTAAAATGTTGAAGTCAATGTACAGCTACAGGGGCTTTTAAAAGCATTGCCTTAAATATCTCTGGAATCTGACAAGCGTGTGTCTCAATTTGCACAGTTCATAGCATAACGTGCTGAGGGGGCTGCTGTTGTCCATGACCTGCTGACCCCAACTGCACAAGTCTTACTTGTAGAACTCCCTGTCCCTTTTCATTTTTGCCTGCACAGTCCTGGCCAGACAGAGGATCAGGCTTCCCTAATATCACGCTACCCAGTAAAATGTTCCTAGACCCCTGTGAAGCGGGAGACGCGAGGAAGTATGCATGCATGCAAAAGTGAGGAAATAAGACTCTTTTGAACTCAGGATATTGACCATTAAGAAAGTAAGAGGAGTATTCATAGTTTCAGTTTTTTTGACATGCAGGCTGCCCATGGTGGCAATTCCACACAAGGCATTTATCATGAGCTTGTTGTTCCCTGTTCACCATTGTTTGCAGCTGCTTTAGATAGCATCCAGTTTTGCTTCTGTGTCTAAAGTCCATTTTCAGTGACTGGGTTCATGTGCGATGGGAAATAATGCTTCCACAGTGTGCAAATTTTTGCCCAAATTTATCAATCAGATGATAAACTTTTAAAATTTATCACCTGACTGGTAATGGTCAGATGAGCATTGCCAGACATGGTTTCCATGCTACCTGCATCCCAGCTACCTGCATCCCCCGCCCATGAGCAAAATCCCCCTCCTTTCCTTATTCTTGCCTCTAAACAGCAGCAACCTCCTTCTGATGGGTGTCGTGTGCGCGTGCTCTGACGAGATTCTGAGGCGCACATGAGAAAAAGCCTATTTTGGAGTGACTGACAGCTCAGACTCTGAGGACAATGGAGAGCTGGCTGAACCAGAACAGGCTCAGAGCTCAGGGGCCTACACTCTCCTCAATTCCCTGCCATGCCTGTCTCTGCATAGCTCAAGGATAGCCATGGGGCCCAGTCTCCCTCCTGCCTGTGGGAATGAGCAGATGAAGGACAGGAGGGAGAAGAGTTCCTGGATGGAGAACATGAGCCTCCTGGGGATGTGGACCTGAGGGCCCGTCGTCACAACCACAGGCTGGACCAATTAGGGGCTCAGAGTGCAGAACGGAGAGGCGTGCGCGCTTTCACAGTGCACCTCCTTCCAGGGACCAGCCCTGAAGGGTTCGTAAACAAATCTTTTGGTAAAGTGGGAAGGAGAGAGGTCAACTCTTCTCCCTTTGTATGTTCCAAAGCTTGTGAATGCTCAGACTCCTGTGTAGCATAAAGACTCTTACAAGAACTGCTGAAGTGACTGTCTTGCTTGGGAGAGGCCACCTAGCTCACAACAATGGGTCTGCTGCATTCCTGAGACAAGATCTTCCCTTCCCCCTCCTGAGTGTACCTGCATGTCTGTGGCACTTCCCAGCTGCTCCTGCCCCCGCTGTTCCCATTTTTATTAAATGAGAATAAGCAACTTCATGATGACCCCCCCACTTTTGCATCTGTGTAGTTTTATACTGTCTCCCTGTTTCAAAAAATAAAGAGGGAGTCAGACACATCACTCAGCTGATGGGAATAGAGCAAGCAGTAATGCTAGGGAGCTGAGGGGAGTAGAGATTGAAGGCTAGAAGAGGAGACTTCTGTGGCCACTCTTGCTAGGGGATTCTATGATATTTTCATAACAACAGTGGTAAAATGGCAATCCCAGGTTCAGATGACTGAAGGAGCCACAGGGAAGCATGGAAAGCTCAGAACAGACAGTTGATTCTTTCCATGCTTTTGGAAAACAAATCCTATCAAGCAAGAATTCCGGAAATGGGTCTGGAGGGCACAACAGACTCACAACAGTAAGATTCACCATGGAATCTTGTGTCATGCAGACCCACCCAATGATTTTTTTAGAACACAGGAAATGTGGTATTTAATTGTGAAGGTGAAAAGGTATTTAATTGCAATAGTGGCTGAGTTCACACACTGTAATAAGGAAACTTGCATTGTTACCATGGTTCATAGTTTTTCACTTAATATGCTAGACAATCAAGTGGTTTCCATGCTAGTGTGGTTTCTGTCCTTCCCACTCAGTCCTCTACCTGTTGGCACGTACCTTATCAGTCACTGCACCTGAAATTCTAATTCTGGGTAAGAAATCACCATGGTGTTTCATGGACCCAGATGAAATGTTCCTTCATGTATTACTCAGATCTCAGTTTCGTAAAAAAGCCAAAAGCAGATGCAGTAGATTAACAACCAATTAACAATCTTGTGTACAAAAGCACCAACACTCCTGTGTTACAATGAATCTACCAACTCCATTGCTTTCCAAATCTTTGTATCAGTTCTCTAGCACAGTTCTGTGCAAAGTTTCCCTCTCCCTTCCCTTCCAATGAAGCACCCCGATTGTCTGTGGGAAACCCCTTTATAGCTGAATTCATTGGGATTTTTTGGCAGATATGACCCACGTGTCCTGAACGAGCAAAAGTAATGCAATAGAATGTGACTAGTGAATTGAATCTAATTCCTCATTCCCCTGACTACTGGTTTCTTCTATTGCAGACTCCCTTTCAGGGTCATCCCTAAAACCATTAGGGTGAGGCAGCTGAACATGTTGGGGGATGGGGAGCAGGGGTTAGGTGAGAGGTGGCAAAGCTGTGCGTGCCACATGTTTTGCCTTCAGCTTCGAAGCTAACTTGTTTCTCTTTGGAGGACAGCAATGTCCCTTCACCACTGCTGGAATAAGATTCAGGTGTTGCTTGGTCAGCTTCTGTTCATGGAATGGGGAACACGGGACATTTTGTCCTTTGCATCCAGGAACAGAATGTCTTGAGCCTGTCCTACCCACTTCTATGTTGGAAGCAAAGATTAGAAATGCTTGCCTCATCCCAGAAAAATCAGAGTTTTATGTAACTGTAAGACACCATCTTTTGGGGGTCGCCCTATGCCAAGCTGACCAAATTATGTTTCTTTCCACCCCACAGATATCCCTGGGTGTCCTGGAATGGTTGAAAGTTGAATGGGCCAAGAACCTTTTGTCACCATTTGCAACTCACAGAAGCTTGTGAAGTTCAGCCATGCTTCCATCAGAACGGAAGAACTACACATTCCTTTGCAGAGGGATAAAAGAAAAGGCAGCTAGCAAGCCAAGAGTCCAGACTGTGAAATGGCAGGAATCGGCAGTGAATGAAGTATGTGGGGACTGAGCTGTGCAAAACCAATTCCATTCTGGGAACCTTCTGCTTGAAATTGGGTTGGCGGACCCAGTGTAGTGCAATAATAAATCCTTTTCATGGAGCCAAACAATATGTATTTCCAGAGAGGCAGAAAAAGAGTTGGGAGTACATTTTCCCATGATATTGTTAGCCCACAAGTGGATGGGAAACATCAGGTTTCCTCATGAAGCCAGCAGATTGGGACAGGATCTCAGTGCAGCCTTTGAGATTCAAATATGAAAAGAACCCCAGAAGTCATCTGCAAAGATGCATCATCAAAACTGAATTGGTTTACACTATGTTTTTGAAGCAAGTTTCTGTTCCTGCGCATCTTCAGACAGCTTCTTCAAAGCAAAGACCCCAGAGTCATGTAGTACCAAACAGATGTGAACTATCACCCTAAGATAAGATTGCAAAACATTGCTTAACTGTTTTTTATCAGTGTTTATTCAAATTTTACCAACTCAACTTTTCAGAGACAGTTCTCACTGCTACTGATTGCTGTGTTATTTCATTTAAGTGAAGACTGCAAAAGGTCAAGATTGGAAGGCAGCTTCTCCAGCTCTAGCTCTCTCTCTCTTTCAACTTCTGAGCAACCAAACATCCCTCATGTACATTTCTTGAAACAGATTTTCTTGCATGGGCTTAGAGCTATCATAGCATGCCTGAATTCTTCCTCTGGAATATTTAGAAGTCTGGACATGTCTACTGAACTTTAACCAGGTGCAGCTGTTGAACAAAATACCCTTTCTTCATTTGTAAGAGGAGAATTGGCCATTCCAAATCTTTGCCAGAAGGGGAAGGAGCCCATACTAAGTGCTGGGAGGGAGGGATGCTTGCCAGGAAGAGGGCTGTGTGAGGAGTTTGGAGTGGAAATCAGGTGACAGGACAGCTTCAGGATGGGCCGAATCTTCAGGGATGTGGTTTTTAGAACAAAGTTCCATTCCTTGTACATTAAGAACCCTGCGGTATACAAACATGACTTTCAAATACAGTCTTTTTCAGACTGGAAGGTAACACCCTAAACATGCAGAAGACAAGACTCTTCATTTTGATTCTTTGTTGGGTAAGACTTAAAAGATGCCCAGAAAGCTCCCATGAAGGGTTCTAAGAATGTCGCATCCTATCCCTTCTGTGTGGAGTTCAGTATTGCCTAGGCTGAAGAGACTTTTCCACTGTTTATGGCACAAGGAAACCTAATGCCTATGTTATAAACTGGCAGAAAACAGAGGAGATGATGGTCTTGCCATTTTGGATGACGAATGATTGTATTGCTCTTTATTCTCATGGACTACATGCAAGCACGAGCCTCTGCGCATTGCAACGCTTTTTGCTCCTGGGTCCAGGAATACCATATTGGGAACGGGGCAGGGGAGGAAAGGATTCGGGACTCTGTGGGGCATGTTTGCTGTGAAAATGAGACATGTTGGGCTTCCTCCTGCGCTGCTCTGTGGTTGTGGCGTATATTTATTTATTTATTGGCTGGTGGTGTAAGAGGAGATTGCAGAATTTCTTTGTCTAGCTTCCTAGCCTTCCTTTCGAAGGGGGACACAAAATCTCAAGGAGCAATGGGCCTCTAGCTCCACCAAAATAAAACTCAATCTGTCATGTGTGTCCAAGATCTGTAGAACACCAGCTTTCAGTCTGTTATTTAATGTGCAGATCCAGAAAAGGATCCCAAGACCAAACCTACTGATACACTATCAGCCAGCTCTGCATTCCCCTTTCCTTGCTGCTTTTGCAGAGATGCTGAGCGTAGGATGAACAATGCACTGGACTTCATGCTGAGCAGTCTGCACCGTACCCTCGTGGAGTGCGATCAGCAGGCCTAGAGCCTTTGAGGATATAAACCAGGCCATCTTCAGTAGAGCTGCTGGGTTTATTTACACAAATTTCTCCAGTGCAGGCTCTCCACTGCGGCTTGCTGGCATATGTTGCAAGTCCATTATGAATTTGTGGTGCAAACAAGCATTTTTATTGGCTGAACTGGCACCTGAGCATTGTTCCCTCAGGAAAAACTAAGAACAAGACATACAAGTTCTGCAAAAGTAGGGTGGCCACTTCTGAATCACCCACTGGGGGGAAATGCATCGCCACAGAGAAGACAAATGAAGACAATCATTTCCATGTACTAACATATATGTACAAATGCAAATAAAGGATGTATTATAATGCAAGCAGAAATGGAGCCCATCTTACCACAGAATGGATGATGGTGCCCAGATGTCTGGCTCACTTGCCTGTTCAGCCAGCTGGGCAGGTGCTATGGTCCTTTACCTTCAACTGGACTTGGACTGAGCAACCTTACCAAGTGAGGATGCCTTCAGACAGAAGAAGGTCCTCAGTAAAACAGACCCATGGCCAGTCTAGTCAACAGGAGCTCCTCTTTTTTAAATGGAAAGTGGCTGTAGAGCATAATTCAGTTGGAACCATGGTGCTGGGGAGGAGCAAACCATTTTCCCAATGCCACTTGCCCTCTTTGAATCTGCTAGGTCTGAAATCAAGTATGTTTTCTGCTACAGGGCAAGAAGCAGCTGCAGGGGGTGGGGTTGAAATTAGGCAAGTGGAACACAGAACAGGATTTACTCCACTTTCCATGTTGCTTCAGTCTTGACCCAAATTTTGCATCTTAAATTTAAAAAGTAAAACGCCAGGAGTTTCTGTATATGGAGAATCTATACATATCTGTATACTGTGATATGACAAAAACTCACCCTTTCTAAATCCCAGTTGAAAAATGGACCACTGTCAAAGGTTACTGTGCCTGTAAATGAGATGGCTTGCACTTGTGCATGTTCCTAAAGTGGGAGAATCTCGGGAACAATTGCTAAAGCGAAGGCACACTTAAAGCACATGTGTCCAAAAATACTTTCATCTAGATCTTACCATAAAGGAGGTGAATATACTCCCACTCGTTTTCATGAACTAAGATCATCAAACCTCTAGTTACATTTGACAGTTCATATTTTGGCAAGTGTCAGATGCAAGCAAAGGGGAAAATAAACTTACTTGCAACCTCTGTGGAGCAATACCCCACATTAGCTACTTGCTGGACTTTGCTAGCAGGCACTCCCCTGCACATTGCCCATCTGAGATTCCCTACTCCTAATCCAACACAAATGCAAATGTATGCAGTTCTGCAAATGCAGACTTTTTAAAATGCAAGCGTTTGTGAAAATTAAGGTGTACAAAACATAAAAAAAGTTTAGCAGCTACTGGCAGGCCCCTCCAAGGTGCTGATGGAGCACTTCAGAGGGACTGACTGTAGCCATCAATGCCAGGATTGCAAAAGCTTTTTTGGCAGCTGGTTTTCGCCACTGGGATGGAGTAGTTTAAATAGTAAAAAAACCAGAACAAGAAGTGGGGATTTGGGGAAGCAAGTGCAATTCCCACGACATCACTGGCATCAGCGTAACATTGTGATCCTATCCATTCAAACTACAGCGTAGATGCATCATGATACTAAAGAAGAGATAAAATAGCTGACAGGCATTACAGTGGCCCTAGTCTAGCCCTGCACAGAAGGAAGTGAGCACTGCAGTACTGGCCCAGTGAGCTCAAGGTGCTACTTTATCTAACAGAAAGCTACTTTATCTATCTTAGAACACACCCCAGTATTGAGGCACAGCAAGCACAGTTGTCTGAACAACCATGGCCATCAATAGCCATGGAATCGCTACAGAGGTCTTAAACTTTATTGTAGTGCACCCCCCCACCCCCTGCTAGACAAATACATCGCTGCACAGGGAGGAAATGAATGTCATTCCTATCCTAACTGCACTTGGGAAGATAAATGCATGGAGAAGCCATGAGCCAGAAGAATTCCGGTCCCAAAGACCAACACTGAAAATGCTGTACACAATGCCATTAGCTTGTTGACTCAGTGTGGGAAATAAACTTTTTCAAAGGAAAGAATCAGATGCTCAAGGGAGAGAAGGAACCAAATCAAGCAACTCGCAGGGCTGGTTTACATATAACACTAACCCATGATTTATTTAATGCATGGTTTGTTGCCCTACCTAGGGTTTCTCTGGCAGACAATCAAACAGTACATGGTTTGTTTTCTCAGTCCCTGGTTTGCTTGCTTCCCTCCAATTTTCTGCTCCTTCCTGTTTGCTAAATGGCACTGCTGGGTGTTTTTTAAATCTCTTTCCCCCATTGCCTCTGTTGCCTGATAAACCCAGATGCCATGGAAAGCCCAGCAGGACATGAGAACAACAGCACCTTCCCACTCAGGTTCCCAGCAACTAGTATATGGAAGTATATTGCCTCTCCTATTGGAAGTAACAGTATTGTGACTAGTAGACATTGATGGCCTTATCATTCCTGAATTTGTCTCTTCTCCAATGAGGAGAAGGATCAGAAGTGTGCCTGCTTCAATCCTGGAATTAACTTAAATCAGAATTTAGCAGTGGAAGGCAGGGCAGAGGAAAAGGAAATTAAGGAATGGGAAAATCCTCTCCTGCAGTCATACAGATCAGAATATCACTATTTTTTGTACTTTACATACTATGAAAATTGTAAGCCTCAATCCTTTGCATAGGCTGTCTCTCCCTATCACTAGGCTCATGGGACAAAGACTCAAGTCCTTCTTTTTGCCTTGTAGTTGTGGTTTTGTGCTGTCAAGTCATCTCTTTGCCTGCCTTTCTGAAAATTTTGATGCCACTACATGAGGTATCACAGGCATAGGAGCCCTGGGATATATACATTTCTCAGGAGTCCTTATTTCAGTAAGAAGAGGAGGGGAGTCACCAAGAAAAATGAGAAGTCATGGTCCATGTAGCAGGTAAGGGGTTAAGGGTTCGTGAGGAAAGGTGCTGAGTGAGTAAAGGATTGGGTTTGGCAATTTTGAGCAACTTCTGAACTCACAGTGGGTGGATGGGAGAGGCCGGTTTTCCTAAACGTCCTCTACTTTCCCTCATACTTGCTGATCCCTCTTGGAATTAAACCTGTAGGTGTTCATCCTTCACTATTTAGAAAACTGCACAACAGGGGCCTCAATTTCCTGCTATAATTACAGCACTTTCTTCTGCACTTTCTACACGAAGTTCTCAAAACACTCCAGGAAAAAAAAAATAACCAGGTTCCATGTTGCTTTGTTAAGCCTAAACACAGAGGCCCGCTCTGCTGGAGAGACAGCCTTTGTGCAAATTCCGTCCGTGGTTGACGCATGCACCGGCCTGGATTAATGCCTTATTTGTTTGCCACTGCACTGTTCAGGAGACCTGCTTTATACTTCAAGATAAGCTGAATATGCAAGGGAGGAGATCAAGGGTATTCTCGCTCCTCCAGCCTCCAAATGTCGAGGGTGAACTCCTGCAATGGGGAGCCAGGCCTGAGGAAAGTGCACAGACACAGAAAGCTGCCGAAATTCTCTTTCAACATTGGGAACAAGTAGAACGGCAAGGGAGGGGGCAGTGCTGGGGTCCTTCTCTCCTCGGCTCCCCATTGCACCTCCGTCCTACCTTAAAGCAGCATGTCCGAATGGAAGCAGCAGGGGACAGACCTAACTCCTGCAGGGGTCTCACATCTAGAGAACTTTGAGATTGCTCTCCAGTTTTGGAATGCTTGAGCCTTGTTTTGCAAAACAGAAATTATCTCATGGCCCCTGAGCCTCTGCTGTCTCCTGAGAGATTCCCTATGATTCCAGAGGCCGGAAGTCCAAAACCATTCCTCTTTCTCTAAAACCTGGAAATAGTTTGTAGCTCTTGCTCTGACTTAAGCACGGGGCTGAAATAAAACAAAAACAAAGCCAACAGCAGCTCCATCGGTTCATGGTTAAATGTGCAAATGTGAATCATTGAGCTTAAATGGCCTTGATGGAAGCATGTAAAATGACTTTACGTCGCTTTTGTTAAAGAGCCTTGTTACTCTGACAATGGTGACAACGTTTGTAAACAATGCTGCTGGAGCAGGGCTGTTTCACTAATGTATTCCAGCTTCTTCAGAGGGAAAGAGCTCTTACTCATGTACACTCCAGAAAAAGAAATGTGCTTGGTATCAGTCTACGGATGCATTGTCTTCAAGCGTGTTCAGTCTTATAACCACTTCCCCTGCTTCAGGGTTTCCTTCCCACGCATGTGTATTAAATTGTTTTCAAATAACTCCTCCCCGCATCCCGAAATTTCTACACCTTTTCTGGCTTGTTCCTTTTTTTCCCCTTGCAAGCATTAAGGAATGTGTAAAAATATAAAAACTGCATTTTGAGGATGCTTGCTGATTTGAGCCCCAGGACAATAAAAGTGGTCATGTTGCATCTTTTACTTTTTGAAACTGTTTTGCTTCTGTTGATTTTAATAACCCTCAGGGGGTGGCGTGGGGTAAGCTTGAGGTTGTTAAACATCCTGAACTTAAGGCATCTAGCAGACCTAAAGCTGCCACCTCTTGCAGAGGAGGGGACACGATTGTGTTTCCTCATTTGTTCAGAGTAAACATTTTAATCAGTGCAAGTTTGAGCAAAAGCTGTCTGGATAGCATGTGGAACAAGTTTAAAACCTACAATTAGAAAATACAGATCACGAGTTTACCACGTGGGCAATATGTTTGCCCATTTCTTAAATGCGTATTAAATGGAAGGAACACATTTAATATGGGCTGGCTTCTCTGTATTTCAGAGTTGCTCTTGCTCCACCCCTAGTTACTGGGTTTTCCTGTTGCTATGGAATGAAGATGTTCATTTTATTTATCCCTCTATGCATTGCTATGGCATTTATCTCAACTTCCTGGTTCTTTGTGTACAGAAGTACGCAGCTGATGCTGTTTTCATTGTACACTTAGAGTGATTTTTGCATCACTTTCCAAATGTGGAGGTAAATGCATGTTCCTGGGTTTTTAAACACGCAATATATGTTGTTTCCTTGTTGTACTCTACCGTACCCACACAAGGTTTACCTGGTAAAACCAAAATTTATCATACACAAATACCCCTTCATCACAATAAGCACAACTGCACACACAGCATTTCACAATACAGAGTCTTCAAGCACAAAACAAAAAAAATTAACCTCACATAAAATGACAACTGCTAAAAACTTTCTAAGTAACCAAATGATGATTGGGCTGAAATCCATTGAGAAAAAGCACATAAGAGATCCTTTTTCTGAAAGGAAGGGTCTAGCCAGAAAATTCCATAGTTTGGGGAAATATTTTCTGGAATGGCCGTGGGTCCTATTTTACTGAG